GAAATGAAATCTTTGTTGTTGATAATTTTGTATTTAAAATTTTGCGTGTTTTGCCTGTTTTGATTTGGGTTTAATTTTGAATAATTGCTTTTATGTCGCTCATTGGTAGGCTGCAGTATTTACAACGTTAGAAGCCTGCCTTATGTTGCCTTTCTGTTGTCCTTCATAGTTCTCATCATCTGCATGAACTGCAACTCTGCAACATCATCTGGGATTCCATACTTGGCTGAGTATTATCTTCGCCAATTAAATTTTCTTGGCAGGTTATACTTTGTCCCATGTTGTTTTCTTGAAACTCTTCAAATTCTTTCAGGTTATACGACATTTTTTAGGTTAAATTGGTCAACACTAGATTTTTTCTACTATTTGGATGTGCTAGTTCAATTGTTTCCTTATCTTGGAAACCCGACACCCCCGAAACCCCACACTCCATCATTGACTCGAGTTCTTTTTAACCCTGCTAGTGACACTGGCAGTACTGATGGAACGGAACAGTACTCACATTCTTTATTACTTTGCGACTTTTCTTAATTTTTCGACTTTTCTTTCACAGAACACTTGTGTTTGGGATTTATTAATGGATTGAATAATATTCCCAAATAAACGATAATTAATGCAAAAAATGAATGTTTAATTAAACGAGTGGCAAAACTCACCTTGAAGCGATTCTTGGAGCGACGTGCCGGCCGGCTTCTTCCCAGATAGTTCACAATAATACACCAGAATTAACTTTCTGCACCACTTAGAGGAAAATTCAGTTTCTCACTTCCAATGCCAAAAAAAGCGTGATATTTTGCCACAGAAAAACTCGCAATGATAAGGAATAACTACCAAAAATAAAACGTGTACATTTCTTCCTACTTTATAGGCAACCCATAATATTTAAAATAAAATAAAATTAACTTAAATTCTAAACAACTTGTCACCATCCCACGAATCGCATTTCTATTGGATTTGATTTACTACGAACGCTGAGGGCAGTGGCTTTTGCTGGTGTGGTGTTTTACTGACCCTTATTTCTGGTCTTTTGTACGACGCTGACGAATCTATTCTTTTTTTCCCTCTCTCGAGCTTCATTTACACCATTTACACGTCAGCCGACAAGTGAAATTAACGCAAAAAGCACGAGAATACGTTCAGCAGTGGCCACGCTTCGAAGTCGGCTCGACAAATAAAATGGCGGTAGCAATAATGATCATGTGTTAAATACTTTTGTGTGTTCAATACTGTTGAAAGTTCAAACAGTACGTAAAATGTTAGAAAAGGAGTATATGGAGAAGTAAAGAGATCTGTACATTAATAACTGCAGTTTAGGGAAGGTATGATGACATGTATCACATCCATAAGAGAAAAACTGGAATATTGCAATCTAAATAAACAATTATGTTTTATTTGACACAGCAATCTCGACTTCAGGATAAGGGTTCCTATGGGCTTCTATTTTATTTATTATATTTCATAAATTATTATTGAATTATGATAATTTAAATGAAAGATGTTTTAAAATTTTAACAAATTTCGGTATATTACACTTTTAGTTCTAGTAGGAGATTTACAATTGAGAATTTTAGATCTTAATCTAAATTACACAACCATACAATTTTTCCCTTTGAAACTAATATAACTGCTATGATACGATTTATATACTGTTGACATGTCATCGTTATTAAATGAAAATCTGTTTTATATGTGACTGAAGACAGACATGGATTCAGATTCGGGAAACGAATTTTTACAGCGAACCAGTTCATTATTGAAAATGACCTAATATTTTTAATATTATTTTGCTTTCTGTCAGTCAGTTTAAGTCTTCACAAGTTAAATTATTATATGTTATAAAAAATAAAACAGTAAATTTTTAAAAGTTATTTACTTTTTTAACATATCACGTTTTTTCACAAAAAAAAATCTAAGATTCTACAAATGTTACAGTTTCAAATTGTTACAGATTGTGTTACAGAAACGTAGATCCCACAAATGGGCCTGTTACAGTTTGAAATTTATACTGTATGGCGCTTTTCACTATTTGTTGCAATGTCAGTATCTTTATAATAACGGTCAAGAATTACAGACATTATTCTTGTAAAGCCTATAAGTACTTTTGTTTTTATATTCTTCAGGAACAATTTCTACCGGACTCTCATTAAGTTCTACATTATTTATTGTGTTCTCTGTTTATAGCAGTTCTTCATGGTCACTTGTATTTTCAGTAATATCTGTTACAGTAATGTCGCTTGCAAAAGATTCATTTTCTTCGTTGTTAAATTCGTCATAGTTAAATTCTGCATCATCGGCTTTTGTGATTCGTTCATGAACAGTATACTCGTGATGCTTCTTGCAATATTGCTCAAGTCTTTCACTTCCTTCATCACTGCCATCTATTTTCTATAAGGAAACCAACCTTCTTATGCGCATATACGCAAACATACGGATTTTGAAGTTATTTCTTATACCCAAAAATTCGCAAAACATTGATAAAATTGAAGAAAGATTTCTGGGACTACATGACCACAATTGTTCCAGGGTGCAGTCCCTGTGTTTTATACAATTATTTAAAACAGCCATGGTAATATCAGGTTTTTTAAAGTTTCCCATTTTAACAGTAATATTACTATCAAAAGAAAAATTCCTAATTTTAAAACGAACTTAAAAGGGAATTCTTAAATGAATAATATTTTAAAAAATTAAAAAAGAAATTCTAAAATAGTCAAACTTTTAAAATTTAAAGTTCTAGTTAATGAAAAATAAAAGAATATTTTAGAAAGAAGTCAAACCTTTAAATAAACTTAAAAATATCCAAGATAAAGGAATAAAATTTTTAAATAAGCTGAAAAGAAATGCTGAAAGGAAATATTCAATTTATGAACAAACTGAGATATAAAGAAAAAGTCTTATTTTCGAACAAACTTAAAACATAAACTCTGGGAACCCGAAACTGAAAAGTGTAAGATAAAACTGCTTATAAGATTTTTAAAATACAACCGAAAAGTCAAAGCCAATCACTCCTGGTCGTTGTATGAAACTCTATGATCGATACAGCGTACAGTTTACGTTACGTTACGTTTACTTCGACTTACTACTTAAACAAATATCTTTCCTAATTAGATTTTCTTGGATAACTTTGAAATTACGGGAGTAACAACAAAAAATTATAAAGAAAAGTTGATTATTTTAATACAAATAAATAATATTTTCTAAAAAATTATATTTAAAACCATTTTTTTGATTATGTAGTAATTGGGCAATTGTCAATTCCTCATATAGGTAGTCCCGAATATTTTTACTGATGCAATATTTCAATGTAAAGTTTTCTTGAAGTTATTGACTATACATGCAATTAAAAAAAATGAAACAATGCTGTTTAGCATATTTTACTACAATAATCATTTAATTACAGAAATTTTAAATGCATGCTTTATAAATTGGTGGAACAGGTAAATATTTTGTTTTATTCTTCCAATATTTCACAATGAAGTTTTGTAGATTTACCTTACCGGTTTTTTACTTAGTTTCCATAGAAATCTATACTGCTTTACTTGGCTAGACATTTTCTTTAAGAAACACTTTAATTTATAGTTCGATTCGAAAAATTTATTTATTTTTATTCATATTGAGATAATAAGGATTATTTAGCCAAGTAAGAGTTATTAAAGGAAATATTGCATATGTGTTGTTATAAAAACAACTTGAAAATATATTAACAATTTATTAAATAGTACCTACTATACAAGGTGTCCCATATTGTTATACAGAATGATTCGTAAACGGTGACCAAAAATTAAACCTCGTATTCATTGGTGATTTTTAAGGGAAGTCTTTCCAATAAAATTTTTATCTAGGATATTTCGCTAAAAAGATACAGGCTGTTTAACTTAAAAACATATTTTTAATTTTTTTGAAATAATTTAAAAACTGGTTAGTGGAATAATTTGAAATTGGGCACATGTATTTATGTAAACATTGTCGAAAATCTGAGGGCGGATATACAGGGTATTGGTGGCATATTTCTAAATAAAATAGTATGCCACTGCTTTACGGTAACAATCAAGATATTTTCAGATTCGTCTTTCAATTTTCTACAAATTATTACTCTTATGTTTTTCGAAAAGAGCCTGGTCGAGTAAAACGAACTTAAAACACTTTTAATTAAATGACATGACAAACACTAATCAAAAAATCGTTTGATCCTCGTAGCCTCTGAATTTTTCCGTTTCCATGATACCTAAGATTCCTTAGTACATGAGTAAATCTGAGTATAAATTTCAATCTGTAACAGACGCATTTGTGGGAGATACGGTTTTTTCAACCCTGAAGAGAAAAAAATCGTTTGACCCTCGTAGCCTTTGAATTTTTCCGTTTCCATGATATATAAGATTCTTTAGGACATAAATAAATCTCAGTATAAATTTCAATCTGTAACAGCCCCATTTGTGGGATCTACGATTTTTTCAACCCTAAACAGAAAAAAATCGTTTGACCCTCGTAGCCTCTGAATTTTTCCGTTTTCACTATACGTAAGATTCCTTAGGACGTAAGTAAATCTCAGTATTTATTTCAATCTGTAACAGCCGCATTTGTGGGATCTCAATCTCAATTTGAAACTGTAACATTTGTAGAATCATAGATTTTTTTGTGAAATAACGTGATATGTTAAAAAAGTAATAACTTTTAAAAATTTACTTTGTTTTATTTTTATAACATATACTTAATAATTTAGTGAAGACTTTAAAGCAAAATAATATTAAAAATATTAGGTCATTTTCAATAATGAACTGGTCCGCTGTAAAAATTCTTTTCCCGAATCTGAATCCGTGTCTTTCAGCCACATTGTTTTATAGTGCGTAAATGATTGAAAATTTCGTACGTGTTAAATTCAATTCGAATTGAAATTTGCAAATTTTATATATATTGGCCAAGTTATACATACAACTTACAACCGTGTCGTCACGTATCGCTGGTTGTATTTCCTAAGTCGTGTTTCGAGGATTTCCAAGGGTAAACCAGGTCGTGAAATTCCACGTTGATATCCGTTCTGGTTGCTGTCTGATGGGGTAATTCCGGTCGAAATGCACTACACTTTTTTTTTATATAAACCTTCACGTATTCACTTTTACTAGCTTGGACTCAGTTCAAATTTAGTGATGACTTTTCGAACTTATGTCACTTTAGTAAATTGTGTACTTCGGACTTTTGACACTTGTAACTGTCAGTCGCGTTTCTCGAAATGGGAAACTAGAGAGGTAAACTTTTCACAAACTTGTTGATATTTGTTGACTTCAACTGTTATTTTTAGGAGCAAATGGACGATGTTACTTCCTAGAAAATTTATGCGAAACTGAGCTGCGATGAGCTCGTATTTGGTTTTATTGCAGTAAAAACAAATGAGGCGTTGTCATGGGATTGTCATACCAAACCTTTGAGAAATTTTATTTTCAATTTATTAACTTTCTGCATGTTTTATACTGCACGATGATTAAATTTTCAGATTCCTTGAATTTTTTTACATTTTTTGATACCAGTAACATCTTTCTAGGTCTAGCTTGAAACTCGTGACTAAATTTTACTTAATATTGCAAATTGTAGTTAAATTATGTTATATAACTTATTTTTTTACATGTCTGTTCACTCACTGTCTTTATTACTATCCCTTTTCCAGTTTTCCAACAGTCTGTCTGTTTTTTGAAACTAAAACTTTCTAGGTTCATCGACTCACCGAAAACTTTTAAAGTCCATACAGAAGTTTAAACTTGGGTTGGAGTCTAAATACAGTTTATGAAGTTATGAAGGTCTTTTACATGCTACACATATTATTTAACAGTTCTGCACCACTTATAAAACTAGAAATTTACAAGTTTTAACGGAACGTCAAACATCAACATTTAAACGATACATGAAACCTTTTGCAGAGGCTCAGATTTAGTTCTACACATAAATTCTTATCACAGGTATGCTGTATTTTACTTATATACCAGGTTTATTGCACATTCCATCTTTATGTGGGAAACACCTTTACCTTCCGTTGATCACATGTCAAAATTCTGATAATTTTTCAAATGTGCTCATGCCTTTACATTTACTTGTTATCTGACATTACAGAATAGTTCTCTAGTATTCTTTATAACCATTTTGTCATGCATGAGTGCATTTTACTATTTATTGAATGGGCAAATACCATTTTCGTCACAATTTTGACAGTTTAAAGATTTTATCGAACAATATTAATACTTGTGTTATAACAAACTTATTTTATATGAACAACATCCTTCACTTTAGCTTTACTTTGTACACCAGACCCTTTTTGTGTCAGAATATGCTACTATAGTTTATTTATTTTTATTTGTTACTTATTGGACATTATATTATCGAAATCTATGGTAAATGGGAACTGTTTAGCAGTACGCTTTCATCTCCTAGTTCCTCAATTTGTGTCACATAGAAAACGTTCTGGCATTTAGTTGCAAATGTCACCAATATGTAGTCACCTTGTTTCAGTTGTAACGTTTCGCTTGCTTCACACGAAATCGCACCAATTCTTCATTAACAATATCTTATAAAGTAACATATTAAATGTCGCTTTCATCGCCCAATTTAAAGTTGTACTACTCCTCATTACTTTCACTATCAGATTCACTCGATTTCTTATTCTTTGGCTTTTTCTTATTTTTTTTTCACTTTTCTTCTCATTATCCATTTTTTCCAGCTCAATTAGAAATTCTTCTGAAGTTAAAACAGTGACATCAATTTTCATTCTTTTCTGAGTTGATGGGATTGTTCTTTGAATTTTTGATAGTAAGAGTGACTCGAATGAGAGCCGGTCGGTACTTAAGTGAGTTGAAGACGATGGTGTTAATGATGTTGATGGATCATCATCAACATCATTGATTTTCATAGGTCCAGCAACAGCAACATTATGTGTTTTCTGCTTCTAGTAAGGGTAATGGACTCCGGTTCCAGTTGTTCAGGTATAAACACATTGGTAGGGTTTTCACGATTGAGATCTTGGTTCTGGTATCTCGTTCATTTTTTCAGGGTCCAGTCAATGTACAGGATATTTCTCTTTATTGCAAGAGTAAATTCCAGTACTAGCAAACTCAGATTTTATTATTTGTTCAGAAATGCCTTCTTCCCATATTTCACACAATAAATTACAGAATTCACTCTTATTTAACTTTCGCTGGTTGAGCCTTTGCCGTACGATTAAAGCATTATTCCACTTTAATTTAAGAGGACCAAAGCAACATTTATCTAAGGGTTGCAAGACATCAGTTGTGTGCGATGGCAGTTTTAATAACGGGATATTTTCTTTAACTGCTAGTTCGATTGTGCCCTTATCTAAATGAGTAACGTGACTGTCCATGATTACAATTTGAGACCGCTCTGTAATTAAGGTATAAAACTTTTGGAACCATTCTTGGAAAATAGCAGTGGTCATCCAACCCTTCTCTGACACGCATTGAAGGTATTTGGCAAATCTTTCGACCCTTTAATAAAAAAATAATTTAGTCGTAATAATTAAAAAGAGCAGTTAGTAGCTACTTACCTTTCCAGCTGGTCCATAAATGTGCACCTTGGAAAATTATTGAAGGTGGTAGCAATACACCAGCCGCTGAAATACATGCCATCACGGTGGTATTTTCTCTTCCAGATCCTTCTACGTTTCTGTGTACTTTTTGTCCTATTTCGGCAACACCTTACACTCTGTTTGGATCTGATGAGAAACTCGTTTCATCCAAATTCCATATTTGGCCTGGACAATCTTCCAACTTGAGGTGGCGGATGGTTTCCTCCAACATTTCATAAAATCCATATATAATAAAGGAATAGCTGGTTCTCCAGTTGTTCAAACTTCTTCTGGCTCAATCTGTTACGTTTACAGAATGCCCTAAACCAATTATCTCCGGGCTTGGCTTAAATTTCTTCACTTTCCTTGTTGTTTCTTGCATTAGAGAAATGGTGTCAGTGTGTTGACTAGCTCTTGAACTCCAATGTTTACGTTTCCTAGATATTGTGTTTCAAGAAGTTGGACGTTGTCAAGTGCACTCGACTGTCCTACACTTGAATGAATGGATGTTCTTGTTGATGTTGAAGAATTATCGTTGAACTCATCTATGGTACCCTCGGAAGTAAGTTCTCTCGTGTTTTTTTCGTTATATGACATGTCACTTATGTTTATATTTAATTCACTATTTCTTATGCGAATTCCTTCATTTAAAAATCTGTCGTCAGTGCCTGCACCGGACACATTACTTTTTTTTTTTAATTGAGCAAAAACCTGAGTTCTAATACTGTTATTTTTTTTAATATCGTCGACGGTAACACTAGTTGCTTCAGGAAATATATTTTGAAATTCATTGGCGACCGATTGCAAAGCAATTAACCATTTTGTTCTATTTTTATAACATGCATACCTTACTTGATACAATACAGGATATTTTTGATATAAAGCAACCAGAAGTGCATTATCAAAAGATGCAGAACGTCGTTCTAAATCTTTCTGATATAGATAATTTTCCAACTTAATCCCAGTTTTTCCTGAAAAAAGCGTGAAAATTCGCAACAAGACATGTAATCATTTCCATCTGGTGTCGTTCTTCATCACAAGTTATATCAAAGGAGTAATACTTCAGGTTTTTCAAATAATTTGAAATTTTTCTTCTGTTATTTTTTTACTTATGGTAGATTACCAAATTTTTTGGCTAATTATGTACCTGATTTAGAAGAATGAGTTAACTTGACAAATATTTTATCTCTTTTAACAGATATATTCTTTACACTATAATACATATAATGAAATAAAAATATAACGAGCGTTCAAATAAAAACGTGGTCGAAGTTGGCTCTGACACATTGGACGTAGGGCGTAGCTTATAGCGACCAACTTAACCTCATTTCTCAACGAGCTGTATAGCAGCTGTCAGTTTCAATAACAAAGCGGCGATATAGTGCTTTGACAGATGACGTTTAAGTTCATTTGCTATACGCTACACCCTACGTCCACATTTTGAGAACCAACTTGACCACGTTTTTATTTGAACTCTCGTTATAAATATATTAATATAATGAAAAAATGTATTAACATACTTGAAAATTTGCTTAAACACAACTAATGCCATTTTCAAAAATTATATCTATCAGTAATATTAATAATTATCATTGTACTGTTGCCATGTTTAAAACATAAACTCAAATTAACTGATTGATGCTCTCTTAAAAATGGTGAAACTGATACCGTACACTGGGGTGAAGTTGACCAGTTTCAACCTTTACCAGTAACTGAATTTTCATTAAATTGAAATTGCGTTCAACAGCTTCCATTGCTTTAGGATTAACTGTTGACATTGGCAGTCCAACTTCTGGAGAATTTTCTTTATCGGTGATGTCATCAGTTGTAATGGATCTACCAGGAACAACATTTAATCATTTTCTTTTTCTGGGTGCATCTCTTTTAGTGGAATTCCATTGACTTTGAAGGTAATCTACCAAAACGTCCCTAACAATGTTTTGGGCAAGTTCCTGCTCCTTCGGAATTTTACTTAACAGTTTTTCTTTTGACAGTGGATATATGCCACAAGCAACACCACTCAAGCTATTTGCGAAACATTGATACATGTTACAATATATTGGAGTCGTTGATCCCAAGATTCAATTCTTTTCCAGAATTCATAATTTAAAGTCGTTCATTATAATCAATTTATTTTTGTTGAATATTTCTTCTGGCACTTCCCTGAATACCGTTCTTTAACATTACGATTAGCTAATACTTTATATAAAATGCACACTTACAGTATAATTAATACCATCAGAGTATGCCAAACAGTTTTTCTTTTTTTTTAGTATGATGAAAGTAATTTTTATGATTTTCATAGAGCGATATAAAGAGCAAGGTTTCTCCTTCAGACCAAAAAGTGTTATCTTCATTGGATGTTTCAGATTTTTCATTCAAACAATATGAAGCTGCTGTCGGTATTTCTTCAACTGCATCTACATAGTTCTTTGTTACAAATTCTTCGTACAGTTTTTGTGCATGGGCCAAGTCAAATATTTGATTAAAATTAAAATATCTATATGACAAAGAGTCAGACTATTACATATTTTACCTTCTGTAATCAGTTCTCGATATGAAAATTTCAACAGATTGGTCTTCTATATCTGTTAAACTTAATAATACGATTTCTTGGGATTCAGATTTAGTCATATTGACTAAATAAACATAGGAAGGTTCTATTTAAAAACAAAATTTTCGATGAAACCAAACAACATGGTCAAATTTTACGAGGCTGTTTTTTTCCTAACACGTCTTATTATAATTATCTAAATACTGATTAAGCTGTCTCCTACAGACTTAATGTTAGCACTTATTGTTCTAAAATGATCTTTGTGTACGATTGCATATCAAATAATTTGTTATAAATAAAATAAAACGTGGATTTCTGCTTATAACGGTTAGCATGAGGTGCCACATTATCTAATTTTAGCTTTTTTGATGTTGTTCTTTTGCTTAATGTTTATGGTAAGCTTTCTTCATTTTCTTCACTTATATATCATTTTTGAGGCCATGAACTATGTAGTCACAGTTTATAATTTCAAGAATTAAATTATTTTCAGCTACTTGTTCAATTGGTTGTGATTCCTCCTAAAATCAAATATACTGATCAAATCTATTCCAAACCTATCGCATAAATAGGATCGCCCTGAATATATTTTTTACCCATCAAATTAAGAGCCTTTGCTCATTTTCGGATAGCAGGTTTTACTATTTCTTTGTGTACTTTCAACCATTTAGCCTTTGTTTTACATTTCCAATCTATGAGGGCCTAAATCACAGCAACTATATAATTTTTAAACATTTCTAGTCTATAGATTTGTAACATGTACCGTAATCTGGGGCTACGTGGTCACCCTTTTTTTGACTTAACCCGAAAATTTTCTTTTACGTTTGATATAATTTGATAAAACATTTTTACAGACCGACATACATAAGGAACCATTTATAGTATAGAAAAGCTCAGTTGTTGCTTTTGTGTAAGAAAAAAAATATCAATATTTGGTTGACCAAGTTGCCTCAACCCCAGGGCAACTTGGTCACTCTTGAGAATTTCAATGAAATTAGTATTATAAGTGGTTTCTATGACTAGGTTACCCCGCATTGACTTTAAAAAAATTTAGCGACGTTGTAGGTATTTTTTTTCTTTGATTTTTTCATAAATAGCCAATTTATTAGATTTGTAAGTTAAGGATAACACTGAAAAACTATGGTTTATTGTACATACAAAAGTATAACATTTGTAAAAAAACAACTTAAAATGTAAAAGGAACTTTAAAAACTTAAAAATAGTCCTAAACGTTTTAAACACAGGAAAAATCATGAACTATTCAAAAACAAAATTTTCTAACTTAGTCACTTGGCACAAAATCTTTATCCACATCAGAATCATCCTGAAATTCCAACGGCCCTGCTTCTGAATCATTACAGTAGTCGCACGTAAAATGAGGGTCTTTACTTTCATGGTTGCAAAGGCCACATATCTATTGAAGGCACTGAACACATTTGATCTATTCTTGTCCGCCAAGAAAGTCTTTCCAATTTCAATGGCAAATGTCATACTTTACTTTTGCTTCACTTTTTTTTGTCTTTTACTTTTTTCTCTAGGGTAAATTGGAACGCATTTCCTCTTTGTTTTTTTCCGTTGGACACCAGAACATCCTACAACATCTTTTTCATCTAGTTCTAGGGCTTTCGTTGTGAGAGTTTCAATGGTTTCATTAGGGTCTACAAGGTCTACAGGGACAGTTACAATAGGTTCATCTGTGACATCTGTAGAAGCAACTTCATTGGCTTGGTCTATTGCCAAGTTTTTACCGTCTTGAACTTTTTTTCCCTTTTATCTTCGGATTTGCGTTACTGCCAATTCCTCTGTGTTCCTTTAAAATATCAATTAATGATGAATCAAGGAATCTTGTAATACTGTCTTGATCATCTGGTGTTAGTCCATCTGGAATCCTCTTTAAAACCTCGTTTGAATTAGGTGGAAAAAGCCCAGTATCTCTAAATCCAGATACTAAATTTTGGCTTACAGTCGCAGATATGCCATTCCATAACCTAGAGAGCAAATTTGGAAACTGCTCTTTGGGAAAACTTCCCTGGATATTGGCTCTCTTTCCTGCAATTGTCTAAAATTTTTCTCCAACACTTTTTCATGGGACCAAATACAGCCACATCAAGTGGCTGCATAAGGTGGGTGGCATTTGCAGGGAATGGAGTTATATAAATACCATGCTCCTTATAGGACTGATTTACTGCAGGCGAAAAGTGGCTGGCGAGATTATCACCAGCCACAATAGTTGTAGCGCCTTCTTTTCGGGTTTCCTTTATGTGAGGGAGGAGAATTTTAAAATACCACATCTCAAATAAATTCATATCAAACCACCCAGAGAGGCTGCTGGCATATTTGGTTCCAGGAGGGCCGCCTTCTGGCCAGTTTTCATATAAATTGCTAGATTTGTAGACCATGGGAGGCAGTAGATCCCCCTTTACATTTCCGCATACCATAATACTAATGGAGATGCGAGAATGATTCTGCACCCGTTCAACCCTTTTTGTGTTTCTTGGTACTACCATCTCTTTGGCCCCAGGGTCATATGTGACATTTGCTTCGTCGTAATTATAAATATTAAAATTTTCGGCATCATTTAAAGGGGAAAAAATTTAAAATGTCTTCACGGTCGACGGAGGCTCTGGACCTTTTTATATTTCATGCAAAGGAATGGATAGATTATTTCTTTTGATGAATGAATCAAGATAATCTTCTCCGGGAATGTTGTCTTTGATGTGTATTTTCTTATAAGACGAGTAATGAAAGTGGACTGTATACGTTCTGAATTCAACTGCTTTATTTACTTCATACAATAGTTGCACCACACAATACAAATCATGCCTTACAACAACTTCAACGACAACATAATCTCTCTCAGTGCGAGCGCCGCTCAACATTAGCTCCCCGCATTACAAGGCTCGGCACAGCGCCGCACAACGGCAAAGAGCCAAAACAAACATTATATAAATAAAGGCATCTACCTGCGTAGACAGTCTTTAAAGACCTTAACTGTTTTTCCTTGTTTTTCAAGGTATTTTGCGATTACCGTCCTTATAGCCGCCCTAGTTAAATGGAAACCCCAATTGGCCACCACTCCAAGTGTCTCAGCAACAGTGGCTTCCTCTTTCTTGGAAAGGACTCTTGGACGGCCTCCTGGTCCAAGATTCTTTCCAAGAGTCAACCGCCTCAATGGTCCTTTCAACATTTTCTTTGCTATAATCCTGGTAGGACCTGGATCCAGGGGTTCTTTGGTATTCCCGCACCATTTTTAGTCAATAGTTACCTGAAAAAAAGAAAGGAAACTGAAATTCCACAAAAAATCAAAATAAAAAAGTAAAATAAAAAATGCCATAAGTGACCAAGTTCCATTTCCATTATAAGGCATTAATAATTTTTGTACATTTCCAGATTAGGTGTATTGCTAGTATAAACACAACACTTCTAATAATAACTTTTTGATATTAATATGTTCTACAAATCTCCACTTCATAAATCGATATAATTATTCAAGAGTAAGCTACGTCTATCAAAGCTAATAAGGCACTGAGAAGTCTCTCCCTTTTTAAACCTATCGCTGTATGTTTATAAAACACAGGCGGTGACGATATCAGCCACAGATTTGTTTATCTTTTCGAACAGCGCCCTTTTGTACGTACCCATACTACGGTCAGCTGATACGACGAACCTTCACACTAGAAATATGTCGTTCATAAATATTTCTCTGCTAATAAAATCTTCTACTATTTGTACCTGTATAATAATATTAAATATTTCTATACAGAATATTATTATATTAGTGACCATTTAACCAGCCCGATTCTATGTTAGATTGAAATGATTCATTTAAACTCATCAAACAGGAATTTGAGATAATCCGACTCTTTATTCAAGAAGTCATATTTCGCTATCCTATCACGTAAGACACATTCCTTACTTTTTCATAATATTTATAATTATCTATTTTATTAAACCGTTCGTTAGAAATGAATAACGTATGTATTTGTATGTATGTATTTAATATTATTAAGATTATTTTCCTTTATCATCTTACTAGAATATAATCCCTATCCTTCTCCACAAACATCGCGCTTTTGTTTTTTGTTAGCACAACATCTGTTATGTTAAATTGAGGGGTTTTATGAACATTTAAAACATATTTTCTAATTTCTCCTATAAATCTAATTACTTCAATTGTGATTGCTCTAATATATTATTTTTAACAGTGCCAAAGTAGCTTTCAATAGGTGCCTTTCACCAATGATTATGGATGACCATAAAGGTAAGTATGTAATGTAAGATTTTTATCTTCCATTCCTTCATTGCATATACTATGGGTTTTCTTTTATTATCAAAGTGTATATAAAATAATGATTTCTTATACTGCCTAATCCTGTCGTCGACATTATCTTCTATTATATCTAAGGATTCTGAACAAACAATTATCATTTTTAATATTCGATAAGTATTCTTCATATTTCATTTCGTTTTTGTATAAGTTCCGATTAGATGAAGATATTTTTGTTTTCGTGGGTATTGAGAACTCCAAAAGGACACGCACCCTTAGTTTCCATCGTATCCCAGACACGATCCACAAATTCGGGTAAAACATTAAAAGTCAAAGGGACTGTGACCGGATGAACCTCGTTGGCAATAGGTATGGTGGGGATGCTTGTAGGATCTGAAATTTTCAACCGTGCAAATATTCCTGCTTGAATGGAGGCATCAGTCTCTTGGTTCTTTCCCTTCCTAAACTGATCAACTCTGCGTTGTTTTGAGCCTTTTCCTGTTTTATGCTTCGGTTTACTCTTATCTTCATCTACTACATCGGTAGTCTTCGTAATCTCGCTTTCGCTCTGCATTTTGTTTGCGGTGATTTCATTTCGTTTTTGTATAAGTTCCGATTCTGCATGATCCACTGCAAGTCCTTATATTTTGGGGAAGTCAGTATTATAATATTATAAAACCATTCTTCTATTATACGCTTATATTGAAAATAGAAGTATAGTTCTCTTTTAAAAGATTTTTACTTGACGGCATAACAGTTGTTAATGCAAAAAGATAATATTTTCATCATGTGTGCACAACAGAATCAAATGTATTACACTTTTTATTTTTTTCTGTTCAAAAATCTGTTCATATAATGGATAGAATGTTGTTCATTAAAATATATACTAACAGCATTAATTTCTACCATACTAAAATCAGTAACAACTCGATCAAAAATTGACCATTTTGAACTTTGTGATAACCAGAATGACTTAAAATGACATGCTGGAAATAAAATCGGAAACACTGCACACGGTTTCATTTCATTTGTCCCCTACTTGAATAACAATTGAATATAATACAATTATTTTTTCATTTATAGAAATTTTAGTCTGTCTCAGTCCTTCATCAATACGTACAGTATTTTTTTGGCATTTCTTTTTATTTTGTTCATATTTTATTATATCCGTTGGTTCTTTACTAGGGACATACACATACATTGGTTCACTTGTCTGCTGTATATATTCAGGATTGTCTCTTCGCATTAAATGCAAATCAATAGCGTCATCTTTATCTCTATGTAATTGCCAGAGTTATAAAATTTTCATGCAACTTGATTCTGGTGCTAATATTATGTCAATCTCCGAATCCAATTTCCGCCGTTGAAAATAGATTTTTGCTCCTCTGTAAATAATATACATGGAAAACAATAAACGGCATGACGTTCTATGCAATAAATAATCCATTTTCGGAGAAGGGCCATTTTTTACCAACAGTTCTAGAAAAATTTTATCCTTTTTTCAATTTAAAGTCTATCTATAACCTACAAAAAAAAAACTTTCCCTTTCCACTGACTCTGGCTCCTCGTCTGATTCAGAAAGTTTCATCTCCCTATATTTATCGAGTACCTACATTTTCTTCCATATTTTCTTCACTTTTTTGGCTAGGCCACTTTACTATCATGCTGCTGCGAATGCTGTGGTGATTTACACATTCTGTCTTCAATATTCTTTAAAGTAAAGTCTTCCTTCTGACTTCCTTTCATAAATTGTCTCGTAAACCCTTTCATATTATCTTTTAACTTTTCTTTCCCTTAAATTTACTAGTGCTACAAAAATTGTTCTGTAATTGGGCTTCTAATAATATTTTTTTTTTGTTAGTAGGTAGAGTAACTTTGGGTAATATGGCACACCATAAGATTTTTTGGAAATAAAATAAAATTGAGATCAATCAGTTTTTATTGGTTAAATCAGTCCTTTGAACTTAATAGTAATCAACAATTATAAATTTAAGGTTATTAATTATCAAACAAAATTAAAATGAAAAATTTAACCGTGGTAGGTAATATGGCCTAGTGCCATATTGGCCACAAATGCAGTGAGCCATATTGCCCTCCATAACAAATACAATAAAAAAAATAGAAGAAAAAAACGTCCGTTTCCACTCCTGAGCATTCTTCATGAGTCCATACGTCTTAAAGTTGTTCGGGGTACTTTATACAGTTTAGAAGTCTTTAGTGATCCCATTTTTTATTTCGTACATCTTCGATTGCGTTTTTCATCGACTCCTTGCACCAAGTTTGACGTTTTCTTTGTGAAATTGGTTTTCGTGGAACCATCACCTATTGAAAAAGAAAATGATGACATGTAGAAAAATTCACGTTAGGTGTGCCATAATCGGCGTAGATACGTTTTTGACAAATACAATTCTAACCTAAAAACTATTAAACAATGCACTTTAAAAATATCGCCACACTATTCATTGAAAGTTTAACTACAAAACTGCGCACTATCAATATAAAAACAATTATTATTTAAACAACAAGAATGAGTGAAACTTACCAAAAGATTACATCAAATAAGCTAATTTTCGATTTTCGCACAGGACACACGTTCACTCGCCGCAACTCAGGGATCGACTGAGGGGTCAAGGGAAGGGGCGCGACGTTATGGCGGATACCTACATCGTTTGCGTTGTTTGGTTTCTGAGAAATTAAGGCAGGCCATATTGGCCGAGTAGGCCATAATACCCGAAACTAATCTAAGCTATATAATATTCGTCCGCAGAGTGATACTGTGGAAGCTGTTTGGCCGAGTTTACATTGTTGGGCATTCGAAACATTTCCGAAACGTTTTCTAAATAAAGGAAGGAAATATACAGAGAAATCTACTTATGCTCTATGCCACTTACTTTTAAATTCAAAAGTTCTTCATTACGTAAAGCCTAGCAATGTCAAACACAACACAAATCTAAAATAATTACTACATTTATATAAAATTATTTTTGGAAAGTTAACATCATCAAGTAGATTTTATCCGGTGTATTTAGAAAAAAAAATTACATTTACTAAAGTCAACTTCATTTTTTTGCTGAAGGGTTGCTTTCACGATACGACTACATTGAAGAAGAAGGGTACCCTTTCGATAACTCAGAAAAATATGCCGGTAAAATATTTTCACTGTATTTTTTAATTCTGTATTTCTTGCACCATTCCATGAATATGTCATCCTGGTGTATATATATAATTCTGTTATCAGGA